TTACATTGGGTGGTACTTCACAAACAATCATATGTCTATCAGGAAAGCATAAAATTTTATAAATTTCTAAAACTAAATGTAATTACATAATTTACAAAATGCATACATGTTTTGTGTACATTTCAATATCAATGAAAGCATCTTGCATTAATTTAATTTGAATGTATTTTAAATCATTTCATATAAATATATCCTATTACGTTTAAGCTCAGCTGAATACATCATAATGTTACTGCCTTTTAAACTTTACTGTTACATTGTAGGGAATTCTGAATGATTCAGCTTTTGCTCTAGCATTAACAGTTTTTCAACAATAACTGTTTAGGTTTCCTTGTGAATATATGGAAATTATTCCCTAGGATCATAAGTAATTTTTTTTCTGCTAAAATGTTTATTTTTAGATGGTTACTGCACTTTTTCTCTAAAAGCTGTTTCCTTACCAATCAATTTAAGAGCTACTCTTTAACTCATACCTAGTGCCTGTTGTCATGAATCTCAAGCTCTATTGGTTAGAGGTATAAATTTTTAAATTTCTGGATTGTGAGTAAAGACAAGGACTACTTGAAGTGATGGGATATTTAACCTTCATTATGATGTTTTTAAAGGATCTATTTGTTTATTTCAAAAGCAGAGTTGCCCAGATAGAGGAAGAGGGACAAAAAGATCTTCCAGCCACTGAATTCACTCCCAAACTGGCCTCAGTTGTCCGGGCTGGTGCCAGGATGAAGCCAGGAGCCTCATTTCTGTCCAGCTCCTTGATGTGGATAGGTGGGCCACCTTCCACTGCTTTCCTATGCAGTCAACAGGGAAATGGATTGGAAGTAGAGCAACCAGGATTTGAATCTGTATGTGATACTGGCATCGCAGGCAGAGGCGAAACTCACTGCACCACAATACCAGCACCTTACTATAATAGTTTCCTTTATGTAACATGTTCAATTATTTTCCTTGGGAGAAAACATGTTTAAATCTGTGAAGGAATATGAAAAATAGGAAAACGATCTAAGTTTAAATTATGTAGGAACTATGAAAATCTTCACAGAATCACAGAGGAAAAAAAAGGATATATAAATTTCTTTTAAGATGAACAAAATAGAAAGAATATAAAAATGCATTTGATTGGTAAGTGTTACACATACCTAACTGCAAACTGGAGGCAAAGGAAAGAGTTTGGCCTAGTTAGTGCTAATTTTCACTCAGCACAGAGCTCACCTACTGACAGTAAATACATTGGGGAAAAGCTAGTTAGCAGATAAAGGCTCACATCTGTACTTGTGCCTTTAGGGATTTAGGTGTTATCAGTGTTCATAATACAAATGATGATTATGATAATTTAATATTATATACAGAGTAATCCCAATACTGTCTATTTACACAAATATAAAAAGTGGCTCATAATTAGAGCAATTTACCATTATCCAAGAATGAGGACTCTGGAATGAGTGGGCCAGAATACATGTCATTCATTTACTGATACTGAGTTAATTCCTCTTATCCAATTTTTAAAAAGATTTATCTGGAAGACAGAGCGACAGAGCAAGAGGCAGAGAAACAGAGAGAGAGAGAGAGAGAGAGAGAGAGAGAGAGAGAGAGAATCAGAGACAGATCCTCTATCTGCTAACATACTCCCCAAGTGGCTATAAAAAGCTGGGACCAGACTGAAATTCAGGTCTCCCACAGATGTTGGAGGAAATCTCAAATTTAGGCCATTGTCTGCTACCTTTCCATGGGCATTAGCAGGAAGCTGGATTAGACCAGAGCAGCCAGGAATTGAGCAACTGTTCTGATATCAAATGCCGAAGTTACAAGGGACGGCTTCATTTGTTGTGCCGCAATGGCAATTCAGCCTAAACAATTTGCTTAGTCTCTCATCTTAAAGCAAGGATAAAACATATAAAATTTTAATACATGGAATGCTGTCAGAGCAACTGACTCGATCCGTAGTTGAAGAATTTAGAAATGCACACAATTGCAGTGTTATGTAACATCTCAATAATCTGGCCTCACTGTATCTCTGGTCATAAACAACATTTCCTACACTTTGCAAAGCTTCCTTGACACATACACTCGATTACTTCTGTGTGAAAATATACATCCCCAAGTGACTTGAAATTCAAACAACTAGTGTAAGAAACTTTGGACATGGAACTTCAGTGACAGGTTAAGGGGCTAAGACATAATTTATCATTGCAATTTAATACCTTCAATGGACTCCTGTATAAAACAATATTCAGAAAATCTACAAAATGTTTGTGCTGTGAAAAATCAACACATAGATTTCAAAATTACTTATACAAAAACAACATCTTTAAAGTTCATTTTCATGACTCTTTTTAATTTTGATTTTTCATGATACAGTTTCTTAGGCTCAGGAATTTCCCCTTCCACCCTTCCCTTATCTCCTCACCCACTCTGTTTTCCCTTATATTACAACAATAGTATAATTTTTCAACAAAAGTCACAAGCTCATCAGTTAGCTATTTAAGTATATCACGGCATTGTAAGTGTAGACAATGGTAGAAAGCCATTATTCAGTCTCTCTGGATAAATATATGTATATACAGGTTTACATATATATCTACCGATTTTGTATTTTGCATGAAGGTTGTCTAATATCAAAGAAAAGCATATTGTTCCATCAGAGAAAAAAAAATTGTCCCTTTTGAATTGGCTTATTCCACTGAGCATAATGGTCTATAGCTGGGATCATTTTATGTCAAATGGTAGGATTTGTTTATCTATTCCTCTTTCAGTAAGCATCTGGGTATTTCCATTTCTTTTCTATGGTATATTATGCCATTGTAAATACAGACTCATAGGTCCCTTTGTCATATGCAGATTTCATTTCATTTGGATATATTCCCAGAAGTGGGATAACTGGCTCATATGCCATTTCAATCTCATAAGGACAAATATCATCTCGTCTTTCTGATACAATGCAAACTTCATGCAAAATATAAGATCAGTAGCCTTTCGATACTGTTTTTGCTAAAACTCATATGTTTTGATATTTTCTTATTTTCATTTCTTCAAAATAACTTTTTTTTAATTAAAATATTTCCTGACTCATATGTATGATCATACAGTAGTACCATTCTCTCCAAGATTTTTTGTTTTCTTTTTTATTTTTTCATTGATACATTGGTCATTCAGTAACACATTATTCAGCTCCATGCTGTTACAAATTTTTTTAACTTTCTTCCTGTTGCTGATTTTGTTTTATGGCTATGGCTTTTAAGGGAATGTATAGTAACTGTGTAATAGATACCATCATATCCAGGTGCGAAGATATAATGCACTATGCATCTCTATTTCTGAACCAAAGATGGAATCCAAATGAAAATGTTAAATATGTCTTGACAATGTAATGCTGTACTTATGCCATGTCTGTACCCACAATGTCAGGATAAATATAAATAGTAGAATGATGGACTTATGATTGCTCATGAAGACGCCTACTATTGTAATGATATAGGGGAAATCAGTGGAATAGGGAGGGGATTTGGGAAAGGGTTAAGGGACAATTTGAACTACATTGAATTTGTTCTCTTTATATTAATACCACATTGACATGAAAAAATAAGAGACTCAACAAATTGATATGAAAATGCTAGTACTCCAAATGAGTTATGAAACTCATATGAGAACATGACTGTCATCCCATTTTCACTTTTCTATGTATGTGTATGGTGTGCAGCTTTAAAGATATGTAAATCAATGCGCAGTATACATATGTATATAGTACGTTTTGTATACATACAGCATGATAAATAGTACTAATGAGTGAAAACATTCTATATAAAGTATGGCACATGCTAAAAAAATGAACAAAGTTTCTTTGTGAGGTATGCCTTTCTCAAAATATGTTTGTGAGAAAAAACTTTGGTGGAAAATGGAAATACATTATTTTAATTCAATGAAAATTGAGCCTAAGAACTTCAAGTTATAAATTCATTCAGAATAAATTTTAACATATTGGGGATACCTGATATAAAACTGGATGCACAGCCCTTACTTCTCTGAAAAATATTGTAATACCTGATATTCCTTTTATAGAGACCGTGTGAATAACAGTGGAAACTTTCTGCAAGGTCTTGTATTTTCATGAAAATGATGCCGGGAATGTTTTTGTGACTTACATGAAATTGTTAACACATAATATGAGTATGTTATTTTTTATAATACCCACTTATTTTGACAATTAAGTAAAATAAATGTAAGAATAAGCAATGAACATGGAAAATGTGCAAAATACATCTCTAATTAGGTAGTAACTCCCCAAACTGATGGGAATTTTCTTGCACTTTACCAAGAAGGTAGGAAGGAAGAAAAGACAAAAGAAAAGAAAAAAGGAGGTAGAGAGTTAGGGAAGGAGAAAAAAAGAGATGTTTAGGAATTATCAACTTTTAATTAATTATCAGAATTCATATATTTTTTTCAGAAAGATTAAGAAGATGAAACTAGGGAGAGAGAAAATCAGAAAAAAAATCCATATACCATCATTGTATGCAAGACCTGGGAAAAAAGTTGATTATGTAACACTGCCATTAAAGGTGTCAGCATATAGAACAAGGATGAGTTAAAGAGGAAGTGATTGACCATTTCATGAAATAATATATGTATCAATCAGAATGTCTTAAGATTATTTGAACTTCACTAGGTCAATTTAAGAAAAAATAAAATGATTAAATTCAATGCTACATTAAATGTTATAAGAATAAGTAAATTTAGGAATATGTTGGGATGATTAGATTTAAATTATTGGTGTACAAATTAGTTGGAAGCATCATGTAGAACATCTTTACTCCATTAATTGTGTTCCTTTCCCCATCAGGGATCACTCATCTAAAGTGCTATATACATAGTGAATTGAAAATTGATGAAAATACTTGCAAAAGAAATATACACATATGTTTAATATTCCCTAATTTACCTTTAGGTATACCTAAAAATAAGCTTTCTGGTCACTTGGAGTAAATGTGAGAATCAAGCCATGGACCATGAACTTACATGATACCACGCAGCATGCTCTTTCCAATGACACCCGATTTCACCCCTCCTCCTTCTTGCTGCTGGGCATCCCAGGACTTGAAGCTCTTCACATCTGGATCGGTTTTCCGTTTTGTGCTGTATACATGATTGCACTGATAGGCAACTTCACCATTCTCTTGGTGATCAAGACAGACAACAGCCTACACCAGCCCATGTTCTACTTCCTGGCCATGTTGGCTACCATCGACTTGGGACTCTCAACAACCACCATCCCTAAGATGCTGGGGATCTTCTGGTTCAGTCTCAGAGAGATTATCTTTGGTGCCTGCCTTATGCAGATGTTCTTCATCCACAACTTCACTGCCATGGAGTCCACAGTCCTCCTGGCCATGGCCTATGATCGCTATGTGGCTATCTGCAACCCCCTTCGATATAGCACCGTCCTCACCAACAAGGTTGTTTCTATGATTGGTCTTGGTGTGTTAGTGAGGTCATTTATTACTGTTATTCCATTTGTGTTTCTGATACTACGATTGCCCTTCTGTGGGAATCATGTCATTCCCCATACCTACTGTGAGCACATGGGACTTGCTCGTCTCTCTTGTGCTAGCATTAAGATCAACATTATTTATGGTTTATGTGCTATTGGAAATCTTGTGTTTGACATTATTGCCAATGCTCTTTCTTATGTTCATATTCTC